GAACATTTTTTTTTATTGCAGACGCTATGAGAAAACTTGAAGTCAACAAAACACATTTACAGTTTTTATAATTCCATCGGACCATACATGTAAGCATGGAGCTAGAAATCTTTTTTTTACCTCCATGATGTAAGATACCAAGCTAGTACTTATGTGCGGTGGTGTCGCGCAGCGCGTGTTTGAATTTCATGTAAATAAACAATGTATTTTACACGCGTTGTATACGTCGCTATGAGTCCCATGTCGAACAGGGTGCGGCGTGACGACTACCGCCCCCTTAACACACCGATTCCCAGCGTCGTAGATTGTATAATATTTTCATAAGCCGGGTATAGCCACGGTTCGTCAAAATATCAGGAACTGGTGACATTAAACGAAATGCAGTACGCTTTTCTTTACCTCTGTCACGATTCTGAACAACAATGGCGCAACAAGAGATCTATAAACACAACATATATTTGCATATGCTAGGTTTGCCCAAACTTACAATCAGGTCTAGAACAGCTTCATATATAACTTGGAAACGACTGACACTAAAATAAACATATATATTGCCCCATATGTAGTAGCACATACGGCCACGTTGAGGCTTCGGCCGAATAAATGGTCCTTGGCTAGCGAAGATGGGTAATTTCTGTCACCGGGTAGATCTCCTGTGTAAGAGGTATCTGCCAAGCGAGTTAAGTTCTCAATTCTACGCTTTCAATCGCAACTTTATCATGATGAAGAATTTGCAATAATTACATGTATATGTTGCCTTTATTACATTTCACGTCGACTACAGTGTCACAGTTTTTACAAATAATTTCACGTCAGACCTATCGGTCAGTCCGGGGTTACAAAAACGTTGTACTTGATCTTTGTGTGTATATATGTCTCCTTTGCTGATATTGTAATGTATTATTTCTCTTGAACGGCCCCCTGTCACTTTTCTTCCAAATGTTGTAATACCGATCAAAATGAGGCGCGTGCTGATTGGATAATAGTTGAACTATCTCAATAATGTCACACGAACATTTCTGGATTGATCAATTTGAATTCTAACCTCCATTTTGATTTATAAAACATTATATTTATAAAATGTTTATAAAGACCACAGCTTTTTGTTCTTTACTGTAATACCAGGTAGATGTTTTTACCTCTTACCGTGACGAGAATTTGAGTGATTACAATGATTACTGTGACGAGTCCTTACTAAAAATAGAACGATTCGTTTTGAATCCCAGGAAAGAGTATTGCCTAAACCATGGAAGGTACTAACGTTAGTACCTTTCATGCCTAAACAAGGCCCTTTGAAAAAAACATTGCAATGTAACAACAGTTATAAATAAATCTGTCGCTATTTAAGTTTTGTTTACTAAGTTGTTTGTCCGAATCAAGTGTTTTCCTGATTAATAAATCACATGACGCTATTGGAAATGTATCCATAGCAACGTGATATAAACACGCAATTTTGTAGTGCATTTCTTGTACGAACATGTTATAATAAGGTTGTAAAGATATGCTCAGGTATTTAGTATTTAGTGGCGTATATAAGATCTCTTTAGGAAAATTACTTATTCTGGGGTTGATAGTAACCTCGCACATTCTTTTCGGTATATATGATCATAATTGATTGAGTTCTTGTAGTTCGGGGATATAGCTCAGTGGTAGAGCATTCTACTGCAGTTAGAGAGGTCGCTGGTTCGAACCCGGGTGTCCCCTTCAATTTTAACCAATGGTTGTACTCTTCTTTAGAAACTCAACATTTCGACATTCAAAATAAGCCGAAGCATGTACAAACAAACCTGTTACATGTAATATTGTTGGGTAGCCAATGATGTACAAACATGAAAGTGGCTTCGCACAATCTCTATCAACCAAATCAGTATCACAGACTTGCCTGAAAAATGCGTATACTAGTAATCACAGATTTGTGACTGTTAACCCTTTAAGAATAAGCACTGTTGTTTTTAAAATCTCCCACAATGTTGGTGAATGTGACAGCGTGGTACAGTGTATTGTACGTTACAAGGTGACTCACACCTAAGCGATACTTATTGTCTACCCATTGTCCTTTGCATCTACTACGTCGATAATGTCGGTGTAACCACACCCAACGTCGAAAACATTGATTTCCGTATAAAATCTTGCACAATAAGGGAGGGGGTATAAATCTGTTTTGAAGATGAAAATCATCACCAAAGTAAAAGTTAATTTGTGCAGAGTTGAAAAAGTTAGTTGAAATTTCCTTATAAGCGTAGTTCATGTCAAATCAGTGTATCGTCCACCGTTCGTCCCAATATTGTCAACAGCCAGTGACATCAGCTTTAATCAACTTCCCTTTTCCCACGCACTAAACACGTGACGTATACACAACAACTTATGACGTATTTAACATGAGCCATACATAACACAACATATGTTGACTTGACCTTATATGCTATGTTTAACTAACCATACAACGGTTATGTATATAACTAGAAAATAATTGTCAGCCAAATAAACATCATGAAATAAAAAATAGCCACATAATTTAATAAAATATTTAATTACTTTAGTTAAAAGTATCACAATGATAAATTGAAATTATATAATGTCAACATACTTCAGTAGTAAGGGTCAGGGGATATAGCTCAGTGGTAGAGCATTCGACTGCAGATCGAGAGGTCCCTGGTTCGAACCCGGGTGTCCCCTTCAACTTTTAATCAACATTTTTTTTAGAATCACCAGTCATATGTGTATAAATACATGTACTGAACTCGTACCCCCGGGGGTACGAGTACAGTTCATGGAAAATACTAAAAAACGAAATCAACATGTCAAGTTTAAATACAGTGAGCCCCAACTACATATATAACTAGGACATCATCCAAATAAACATATGACACAAAAATATGCAAATGTTTTGTAAAAAATTTAAATAATTTTGTCGAAATATTCCAAGTGATAATAATATAGTAGTATAATATCAGCGC